AGACAGAGGGGCATGATGCCTGGTGAGACAGAGGGGCATGATGCCTGGAGAGACAGAGGGGCATGATGCCTGGAGAGAAAGGCAAGGAAAAAAGTCTAAGAGGGACAGTGATTCATTCAACCAAGCTGGAGACAGTAGGGTAGAGGATGGTGGGCAGGGACTGTGTGCTGGAGAGCTTTAGTTGCAACTTGACATACCTGGGTAGAAGAAGCCTCAATTGGGGAATTGCACCCATTGGACTAGCCTGTGGCTATGTCTGTGAGGGATTTTCTTTGATTGCTGAGTGATGTAGGAGGGCCCAGCCCACTATGGGCAGTGCCACCCCTGGGCAGGTTGTTCTGTATTGTATAAGAAAGCAGGTTGAGCATGGGCCAGGGGAGCAAGCCAGTAAGTAGTGTTCCTCCATGGCCTGTGCTTCAGCTCCTGCCTCCAGATTCCTGCCCTGAATTCCTACTTTGGGCTCCATCAGTGATGAACTGCGACCTGGAGATGTAAGCCAAATAAACCCTTTCCTCTCCAAGTTGGTATTGATCAGAGTATTTTGTCACAGCAATTGAAAGCAAACTAGAACAGATAGCTTGTTTTGCCTTGTTGAATTTTTTAAGTTAAAATTAAAAATTGGTGTGTGTGTGTGTGTGTTGCTAGAGAGATGGCTCAGCAGTTAAGAGCACTGGCTGCTCTTCCAGAGGATCCAGGTTCACTTCCCAGCACCCACATGGCAGCTAATAACCACCCATAATTACAGTTCTTGGGATCCAACACCCTCTTCTGGCCTCAGAGGGCATTGTAGTACATGGGTACATTCACATACATGTAGGGAAAACACTCATAAAATAAAAATAAATAAATAAATAAAAATGGGCTTAGGTATGGTGGCACACACCTTTAATTCCAGTACTTGGGAGGACGAGACAGGCAGGTCTCTGTGAGAGTAAGGCCAGCCTGGTCTACATGGCAAGTTCCAGGCCTGCAGGGCTATAGGGAGACCCTTTCTTAAACAAAACAAAACACTCCTCACCCCCAACAAACGCAGAATAAAATTTGCCTGTCAATTATTTGGCTTTTTAAAATCTAAATGCATTCAAAAATATAAAAGTAAAAACTAAAAAAAATGCAAAGAAAGAAAAAAAAAGAAAGAAGGGAGTGAGAGAGAAGAGATAGAAAGGTAGAGGGATGGAGGGGAGACAAGGGAAGGAGAAAGCGAGGGAGGGAGGACAAGATGGAGGGAGGGAAGAAGGGAGGGAACGATAGAGGAGAAGGCAGAGGGGAAGGAAAGACGCTGCTGTTTTTCAGGCATGGTGAATAAAGCACATGTTTTCAATGGTTGGTCACAGTTGACAGATTCTTACACAACGGCTTTCTCAGGATCTCTGGGGAAGGTCTCCAGGTTGCCCGTGATATAGTAAAGAGAGCACCACAAGGTCCCTTCGATGTGTCCCCCTTGTGCAGCCTTATGGAAGTATTCACCGGCTAAGGTCTGTAGGAGAGATGAACAAGAGTCCCTCTCATTAGCGCAGAGGCTTTCCAGATATGCTAGTACAGCAGCGGTTAGGTCAGGTACTTTAAGCCTGACATTATCACAGGCTTATGCCTTGAGATACTTTTAAGAAAAACCAGGTCAAGCAACAGCTCTAAAAAGACAGCTCATCACAGAAGTCATCCTCCGGGATGTATGACCTCGCCAAGAGCTAGTCTGTTGATTAAGTTTACCCAATACATAAGACAACATGGAACTAGGAGTACATCACCACCTCAGTGGATCCTCACATGACCCTTGCACACTTGGCACAAGGCTGTATTGGAAGTCACACCAGGTGAAAATGCACACATTTGCTTTCCTGACCTTGCTCAATACCCTTCTTTAAACTCGTGCACCAAACTGCATTTCCAGTAGGAAAGTGAGAATTAGAATATGACAAGGAGAAAAATATCCACACTCACAGATGTGTGGGAGGGTTACCAGACATTTGCAATGCATAAAAATATCAGCTTTTGTGCAGTCAGAGGGAAAAAAGGAAACAAACATTCAGAGGGTGTACGGGTGGATGACGGGCTCCCACTGGTCACCATTAATTTTGGAGGTGGTGAACTATTGTTTTTAAAAGCATAAGCTTTGCAGGCAGACAGGCATAGGATCAAATCCCAGCTCTGCTTCTGACGATGGACTTATTCTTTCCAAACTTCCTGAAATCATGGTGGACACCTGCACTCCCAGCCCTTGGGAGGTGGAGAAAGGATGATCAGGAATTCAAGGCTAGCCACAGCTATACAGTAAGTATAAAAAAAAAAAAAACCAGAAAAAGTGAAAACAGAAGTGGCTTCTGATAGTCCCTACTTGGAGAGGGTGTGGTGAGCATTAAGTGAGATAATATACTCTGGTTTAGTTTGGTATCTTACAAAGAGTACTTCCCAAACCACCCTCCTACCTGCTGACAAACCTGCAGTGGCCACGGTCTTGACCATCCTGACAATTCCTACCTCCATTCCTTGTCTCAGTAAGTGCCAAAAACCTTGGAGTCACTGACAAACCCTCCTCACCTCTCATACCCCAAATCCAATCCATCAACAAATCTTGTTTCCTCAACTGACCTTCAAAACTGCCCGTGGGAGCTAAGCACACGCTGCCCTGGCTTCTCAATGTTCTATCTCTGTAGATACAGTGTGTCACTCTCCTGCTCCTGCCCCTGCCTCCTCATAGTTAGAGTTATTAGGATCCAGGAGGGGCCTTTAGAAAGCATACCCCCATCTCTGCCCTGCTCGGGGCTGTGGGGGTTTCTCTTCTCCCTGAGGGTGGGGGTAGAAGTCAAGTCTCACCAGGGCCTGGTGAAGGGACCTCTGGGCCTTGTCTCGCCCATTCTCTCCCTCTCTCTGCTGCCACTATCCTAGCCTACCTGCCGGTCCTCCAGCATGTCAAGCTTGCCCCTTTTCAGAGCTTTTGCCCTGACTATTGCCTCTTTCTAGAATGTTCTCTCAAACATCCATAAGATTCCTTTAGGAACCTTTACAATGTCACCTTGCCAGAGAAGTCTTCCCTGGTGTCCCTTATATGAGAGCATCCCTCGATCTCCTCCAGTACTAACCTCCTCATCTGTCTTTATTTCTCTCCATGATGCTTATTCCACCTGCCTTTTATTTGATACCCATCTTCTTCCCTGCCCAAATGTAAGCTTCATCAGGGTAGGGATTGTTTAGTCCACTACTGTATTCCCAGAGCCCATAAGTATGCCTGCCAGAGGCAAAAGTTCAACAACTGTGGTTGGATGTCACGGTGCTGGGCAATAATTCCCATCTGCAAAGCAACCATGAATAGAAAGGGTTCCCATCTCATACTGGAGTCCAGGCCCTGAGTCCGCTAAGCATATTAAGTATTTGAACCTTAGAGTCAGTTCCTCACTCTATAAAATGGACACAATCATAGCCAGTATGCTAAAGGGTCGGTACATGAGTCTGCATTTGTGAAGTGCTGGGTATCAGGGAAGGGCCCAATAAGCTCCAAACACTGCCTCTTCTCTTTTCAAATTTGGTCTCACCCCAGGCAAACCCATCAGGACTTGGCCCTTTCTGCTCCTCAGAAGACTAGTACCCTGAACCATCTCTCACTCTTCCCTAGCTGGATGGTTTCCCTCTCCTTCCTCCACTCAAGCCTCCCTCCTCCACAAAGACTTCCTGGCCTTCCCTGGTTCCCACTTGGCTAAATGCGTCCTTTTCTCTCCATCATCCTGCCTTCCTTTCTGGACCCTGGGCTCCTTGGGGACAGTGCCATGTGTCAGTTCACATCCTTATGTCCTCCCTCCCTCCTGCCATGCCTCTTCCAGGCTGGGCACACAGTAAACCTTCCATAATCATTCACAGCCAGTTGTTGACTAGGTGCAGTTATCTCAAGTTGACTCACCAGATTCCTTCCTGGGACTCCTGGGAAAATGCCATCCAAATACAGGACCCCGAGATTGTATGATGCATCTGGGTTCCCCATTTCCTCTGCTTTTAACCAGTACTTTGCTGCCTTAGCATAATTTTTCTTGAATTTGTGGTAATACCATCCCAGGCCGTTGACTGCCTGATGCAATCCCTGAATTTTAGAACAAGATAGAAATCATTATCTTTTAATTTTAATGAAATCTGAAGAGATCTGGAAGCAGTTGCTGTGGAAGCATTCTGCTTGAGTTCAACCAAACCCTTCCCTTTGTCTTTTTTGGGGGGCAGATGGCACTAAAGAAAAGCTAAGTGCCAGAAAGCACAAGCCTGCCTGAGACTTCCCAGGTGGATTTTGCCCGGCTGCTGCTGGGGTTTCCGTCTTCCAGTTCAATACCAATCTGGCCCCCAGATCATCGCTCAGTGCCTGTGGGCTCTTATGTAATGCCCCTGTCTGCAAATGCCTCTCTCCTCACCAGGCAGGATCCACAGTGCCCTTCAAATTCATGAGCACTGGGCTGCAGCGGGATGCCTGAAATCCACCCTGGCTGGGACTGGGAAGGTTTCTAGGTGACCTGCCTGCCCATCTGTTGATTCCTCTGCCCTAAACACCAACAAGCCTCCAAGGGCAGCAGCTGTGACAAACCATTTGTGCAGCTTCAGTGCTTTGTGATGACTTAGCATCACAGTTCTGATGGGATTCAGAGTCAGGGCTGAAGCAGCAGGGAGGGATGAGGGGAGGATGAATGGGGAGGATGGAGAGGAAGGCTGGAGGTGGGAGATGGAGAGGAAAGATGGCTTCAGATGTCTGAGCCTGGAGCTGGTAATGTCAGCTCCAGAGAAGGGGCTGTTCATGCCAATCTGTCCTCTAGCCTTCTTGTCTTACTGAATGCATTCTGTCAGGTACTCTCTTCTGCTTTACATAGACACTCAGACGGTGAAATCTCAGAGGCCTTGCAGGGTCAGGGTGATCCCAAGAGAGCATCCTACCCTGCCATAATACATCTGTGTTCAAGCAGCACACTCATTCCTCACTTCTTGCTGAACCTGAACAAACAGCAGAAACAGATTTGAAGGCCCAACAGTGCCCTTGCATCTGTGGACTTGTAAAGATAGAGTCTCAATGCAGAAGCAAACTTTTTTAGCCTTCCCTTTTATCAGAGAAGAGCTGACATCTTGGTTTTTAATCTCTAGTACAGGTAGACATTCAATAAACAAATGATAAAGTAACAAAAACCATTCTCTGAATGCTGATCCAAAACAAAACCCTGCACTCAAAATTCAGAGTAAGACTTTTGTCTATAGGCCACCAAGATGTCCAACCCGAGTACCACTTAAGTCTGTCAGCATCTTGACAATCAGAGAAGCACTGCACATGGGACAATATAATCTCTCTTAGTACTGCAGACTCTGTTTAATGAAGTAATGACCAGGCCATATTAGGACACTGGAACAATCTCCTTTGAGACATGATGGAGAGAAGATATCCAAACAGCTTTTCGGTGCCCACCTGGAGAGGCCACAGCCTGGTTTACACTGATCTGTCATCAGCTGGAAGCTAATGTCCCTCTGGGAATTGCAGTGGGCTCAGTTCATGAGCCCACAAGAACTCCTGTCTTATTGCTTAGTGCTCTGACCTTGCTCTGGACAGTTATTCATCTAGATCAACAGCTCTGCCTCTGTGTGGCTTCTAATTCCAAAGCTCTATCTGTAAGCAACCTTCACTATAGTCCCTGACAAATACTAGGTCCTTGCTAAGTCCTTGCTGAATGAACAGGAAGAATCACATTGCACTTTCAAGGAGAAGCAAAACTAGAACACATGATTCCACCGCTAGGGGGACTAAGGAGATACAAATTTCACACCTGTCCAGAAACTCCCTCCAGCGCCCCCAATCCCCTTGCTTGAGGAGACCCTGGCCCAGTGGACTCAATGACCCTCACTGAGTTCCTTTTCTAGTTCTGCTTATCATGTGGGTTCGGGGCATGAGCAGAGTCATGTGCTCACTGACAACACTTAGGTAGAGAAGCCTTCTGAGTTTCTTACTCCTGTTCCAACTTACTGCTCTGCTCTATGGAACAGGATGCTTTGAGCTCCCCCAAGGAAAAGAACAAAGAAGAAGTGTCAGCATGGTTACTTTAGAAGTCTGTATGGAGAAGACCAGTATTAGCAGCTTTGGTAACAAAGGAACAGCCAGGGGCCAAAAAAACGCCATAGAGTATGTTGTCAAGGTGGAGAATTACAGTAGTTTCTGTGACTATTCATTTCAAATCAGGTGCATATGTGGAAGTTTGTGAGGATGAGTGTATATAAAGTGGGGTATGTGCGTGTTTGGATATGGAGTGTGCATGCGTGTGCACAGCCTTTCAAGCTTTTTTTTAAGACAAGGTCTCCCTGTAGCCCCAGCTGGCCTGGAACTCACTATGCAGACCAGGCTGGCCTTGAACTCAGAGATTGGCCTGCCTCTGCCTCCTGAGTGCTGGGATTAAAGGCGTGCACCACCACGCCCAGAATAAGTGCTATTATAACTGCAGTGCCCAGTTCAAGTGCTATTATAACTGTAGTATTGTAGAGAAACCAGCTGACATGAAGATACTACTGAAATATAAAGTAACAAGGGCAAAATAATTCATGGAGTTGGTAATGATGTTGGTAAACAGCCCATTATCAAAGCACAAGTAGCAAATGGGAACTGGTCAGGACAGGGTTAACTTTCCAAGGAATTAGGCTTTGGTTTTCCTAATTCCATGGCATTTGCACCTATTCAGTTCTAAGGAGCCCCCGCTGGTTGTTATCAGGGCAGCTCCTGATTATAATTTTAGCCTTCAGGCAAAATCAGCCTGAATTCTATTGACAGCAAGGGGTTTTGAATGGTGTTGCCCATTGTGGCAAGTTTCTGTAAGTCTTAAAAATGACTGATCACTACATCAGAGGACTACTCCCCACCTCACTTCCACCTCACTTCCACCTCAGCTTCATGGAAAGAGACTGGCTGTTTCGCTCATGCTGATTTCTGAGAGTGAGTGTTTGGGGGGAAGGATCTCCTCAAGACAGTATGAATGGTTACCTTGGAAGCAGCTTTCTTCATGAGCTCCAAGGCAAGCCGTCTGTTCTTCTTCACTCCTTGACCCTAAACATTGATAAATAGCAATAATTATGAGGAAAATAAGCCCAGAATTCTCACAAGCATCACACAGACACACCAGCGCTCAACATAAAACACTTGCAAATAAAACCTGAACCTTTTTAATAAAATGCAATCTGAAGCATTTACCTTTTTAATTTTATAAGTGTAAGTGTTTTGCCTGCATGTATGTAAGTACACCTATGCCACACAATGCCTGCAGTGGCCAGAAGAGGGTGTTGGATCCCCTGGAACTGGCAGTATGAACAGTTGTTAGCCACCATGTGAGTGCTGGGAACTGGACTTGCGTCCTCTGCAAGGGCAGCCAATGACTACTGAGTCATTGCTCCAGTCCCAATCTTAAGCATTTCTATGCACAGCAATGTTACATGACATTGTTGTCATCATCAACACCATTATCATCATCATCATCATCAGCAGCAGCAGCAGCAGCAGCATCTTGCTCATGTTATAGAACAGCAATAGCAAGCCTCAATCTCCCAGCTTAGCAGTGGAAGGAAATCCTCCATGAAACTCTGTGTGGATTGTGTTCTTGTCACTCCACAGGTACTACAAAGAAAGCTGTGAATCACATTGAATGAGTTTGGTCATCCTGAATGTTTCTCTGAATGTAGTTTGCCACCCAGATAAAGCACTTTATCTGTGTTGGATAGCCAAAAGTTATTGGCTCAAGTTCCCAGGGTATGACACTGTGGTTTCTGAACCAGCTTGAGAGCCTGCTGAAAAGGAGATAGGACCATGCCAAAGTAGTTGCCAGAAACTAGCAAGGTTCTTTCCAGCAAATTCGAGATATTTCCTCCAAAGAAGTAGCTTGTCCTCTGTGTATAGAAATGGACACTGGGGTTCCTGTTGCAAGAAGGAACTCTGTGGACCATGCTGAGGTGTCTAGAGGACCACGTGGGGAAATGGTGGGTTCAAGGTTGGGGTGGAAGCTGGACCCTGAGGCCTTTCTTGTTAAAGGCTGATTGTGGAGATGCAAGGCAAGGAAAGCCAACTGCAAACACCTGCCGCTCCAAACTTCTCTAGAATTGTGGGTCATACTCTCCTGATGCCTCAGAGGGTCCTCAAGGACTCAGCCAAGACTGACATGTGATCTCACCACAAGAGGGCTTTCTTTGCAAGAATGTAGCTATCAATTCTACTTATATAGTTGGCTCTGTAGAAAATGGAGGTAGTGATTAACATACTCATGTTAAGTATCATGGGGCAGTACCCTCACCATCACCTTTCTGTGCTATATATAAACAGCAATGGTGTGCTGGATAGCTTTAGTGTCAATTTACACACCTGGGTTGAGGGAGCCTCAATTGGGGAATTTCCTCTATTGGACTGGCCTATGGCCATGTCTGAGGGGCATCTTCTTGATGAGTGATGTGGGAGGGCCCAGCCCACTGTGGGTGGTGCCACCCCTGAGCAGGTGAGCCTGTGTTGTATAAGAAAGCAGGCTGAGCAGGGGCCAGGGGAGCAAGCCAGTAAGCAGTGTTCCTCCATGGCCTGTGCTCCAGCTCCTGCCTCCAGGTTCCTGCCCTGAGTTCCTACTTGGGCTCCCTGATGAACTGTGACCTGGGAGATGTAAGACAAATAAACCCTTTCCTCCCCAAGTTGGTATTGGTCAGAGTATTTTGTCACAGCAATGAAGAAACAAACTAAGACAAATGGTTAGGCACTAAACCTATGTATAGCATCTCCCAAACTGGCTATGAGGACTCAATGCACTAATTTATGTTAAGCATGGAGCAAGTGCTCCATCTATCACTGAGAATGATTATGCTACTGTAAAAAGCACACGTGTTAAAGTTCTCAAAGCCCCATTGGTCATGCTATCTCTTTCAATCCATGACTGTGACCCTTGTCCCACGAGATAAGCTCTCCAAGGGTATCCACAATGGGTGTAGAGGTGGGACTCTTAACACATGTCCTCTGTCTGCTCCTTCTCCTTGTTTCCTCTTGGCACAACTCAGTTTGTTTTTCCTATCAGCAGGACTGTTAGCATCTGGCCCAAACATGCACTCTGTTGGTCTGTGACAAACACGCAGCCCCTATGGGGCTGGTGGCCATGTACCAAACTATGAAATGTGGGTGCCTCCTTCAGAAAGTTACAGAAGTACAGAGAATCCAGGTGCCAAATACAAGACTGCCAATTAAAGATGCACCCAGGGAAGTGCTTTCAGCTCTGCCTTTTCCTCCAGTGTCCCTCTTCATCACAGGTGACACCAGTATGCACTAGGTTTCTTCAGTGACAGACTCCCTGTTTGTCTGCATGCCCACAGGAAATGTCTCAGGAAGTCTATTATCAGAACTGAGGAATTTTAGCACCAATTAAATGATTCTTACCTTGAATAACACAATGGCATAGTCATATATTAATGCAGGATCCTCCGTCTCCAGGGCCCCCTTGGCATACCATTCGATGGCAGCCTCGGGGTTCTTGGCCACCCCTTGCTGTCCCCAGAACAGCATCTGAGCCAGTCGTTGCTTAAAGACAAGAGCAATTTAGAATAGTGACTTTCCTGCATGAATCTTCACTTTAAAATGTGGGAGGACAAGCCTAGAGGAAAACAGTTTAGGTTGAATAACCAGTCACAAATCACCCCCTCTAAAGCTCAAGGAACATCTCAGAAGAAGGGGAGGAAAGAATGTAAGAGTTGCTGGGAACAGTAGGGAGCAGGGCAAAATTCTGAGATACCTACAAGATTGGGTCTATCAATACCATGTCATGAAATGGGGAGATGGGGAGGGCCTTATGGGTCCCCACCTTTCCTTGAGATAACTGTTGATGAGGGAGAGACAGACATCATCTTCACTGGTGTGGCCACTGGTAAGGTGCCCATGCTCCTGTAAACAACCCTAATGAGCCTCATTAGGTCACACACACACACACACACACACACACACACACATAAGAAGACATGAAAATAGAAAGGGGGTGAGTTGGGAAGAGAAGGGGGATTAGTGGACAGAGAAGAGAGGGTACACATGAATGAAATACGTTATGCATGTGCATGAAAATGTCACAACAAAACCCATTATTATGTATAATGAATATATGCTAACCAAAATAGTTAAAATGTTTTAAGTTGAGAATAAAGAATTACATAGGCATACTTTATCTTCAAACCAAGGTAGAAGAAGCCTGAAAATACATTTGCATCAATACAAGTATATGTGTATGTGTGTGTGTGTACATGTATGTGAGTATATGTATGTATGCGTGTACTGTTTCAGGACCAGAGCTAGCTGAACATGATGAAACCTGGCCAAGGATCACAGAGCTGGCCAGAACCTGGTCAGCATCTCATGTTGCCTCTCTTGTCAAGTAAAGAACTAAGTATCCACTGTTAGGAAAATTAATGCAAGTTCTGACACCCCCAGGAAATGACAACAGCATTTCTAGAACCACATAATAGACTTCCTTACCGCTATAAAGACAGCAGGCTATGGTCACACACTAAGAATAGGCTCAGGGGCTCCCTTGTTAATCATTTGGCCCCAGGTGGGTCCTGCACTGTCTTTCCTTATTTCTGTATCTCCTCTCCTTCTTTTCCCATTTCCCCCAAATACCTTCCACTTCCAGGACAGTTATCTGCTGAAATGCCAGTAAGGTCTTTAGGTGGGGGGAGTCAGAGACTGGTGCTCAAGAGTTCCTGAGCAGGCTAGGTGGTCAGTGCCTCTGATTCACATCCTTTTCTTTCCCTTTCCCATCTCTACTCTCCTGTCTGCTCAGCAGCCTGGGAGACTCCTCCAAGCACTGCTGTGCTCACTGGGAGCACTCACTAAAAGCAAAACACCCTCCTTTGGGAAGAAGACTTCTGGTGGAAGCTAGCCCCAGCAAGCTGCAGCCAAGGGCTTTTCTCCACAGGGCAATCAGATGAGATGTTCAGGACACAAGGCCAAGCCCTCTGACATGACATTCTGTTACTAATTATTGTTCTAACTGAATACATGGCCATCTAATTTCTCCTATACCTGAGACACTTCTTGTTTTCTATCTGATACATGCACCAAAATAGCTAACAAGCATCTTTAAGGGTACTAATCTTCTGGTTGTCTGTCAGTCTGGGTTGCTCCATGACCATGGCTCTGCCAATGACTTTGGAATCGTGTGGCACAGCCTCATTCACTGGGGCTTCAAGGCTTGAGAGCAGAGGCCTGGCACGCTTGTCAGACATGCAGTACACGCAGGAGATAAAGCAGCCCTCTTTCAGCTGCTGGGTTTGGGAGGTTTTATTCTCCTAGCATAACATGGTCTGAAATGAGTGACAGAATCCCCAAGGCGGGCTTGTGTTCACCTGTGCCGCCGCGTTGCCACGGGTGGCTTCGTGTTTCAGCCACATGAAGACGTCACCATCTTCTTTGGTCTGTACTTTGAGGGACTCATCATCTTTGAGTCTAATGGTTTCAACATATGCCTAAAAACGAAGGAAGGAAAGTATTAGGGAAGAAGGGAGGGAGAGAGAGGAGGGGAGTTAGTCAACTGCTGCAAGCATGTGAAAGACATACTTTTTTCCAATATTTAAGGATTCGTTTGCTTTCTTTTTTCTTTTTTAATATATATTTTACTGAACTTTTGTGTATTTCATATAATAAATTTTAATCATATTTAGATTCCCTCCTCTATCTGTAACCCCTCATAGCTCCCCCCACTGGATTTTATGCATTCAAGACATAATGTTTTTAAACCACCAATTATTCAGACAAAACCCATGTAATTGAAACATGAGGCATGCTTACATGGTCACAGGACTGAATTCTTTTTAAACAAATGTATCACATTTCACTTATCTACATGGAGGTTTGGTCCCATCAAAATATTTGCTTTGGGAGGCCAAGCTTCTATCCCTGCCATTTGCATTATTCAAGTTTGTTTAAAAGTCACGTGGAGTCACTGACCTCGGAGCCAATTCCTACCCTTACAGCATCAAAATGGTAAATCAGTATTTTCTAAGTAGTATGACCTTATTTTTTTAATCCCAATTTATTACTCCCCGGCATGAGTAACCACTTTTATTTCACAGGCTCAGCTTCAGATCTCTTTCGGCTATTTCTGAAGATTTAAAAATTTACCCTGAAGACAAGAGAGCATGCTAAACTCTAAGAATTTGATAAGGAATGTTCTGAAGGCTCTAAAGATGAATCCAAAAAGAAAGTTCACAAAGTATTTTGAATTTGCACACAAACCTCCTAGTATCTGACGTCTTTGAAGAGAATAAGATTCATCTTGGTACATTTTGGTTGTATAATTAGAAACCTGGTCCCGCTCCTGTCATGCCTGATCAAGTGTATGGAGCATGCCAGGAGGGGGATCTGGAGCAAGTTTCAAGCCCCACCATGCCAACAGGCAGGTGTGAAAAAGAAGCCTCAGAAAACAAGGAGCCCATCCCCCGGTTTCCCTTCTGCCTGCCTTTGTTAGTTAAGAAAATTAGTTATAGACTCTTAGACTGTGGACAGTCCTTAGACTGTCTCTGAGCTCCTCTGAGCTGGGGTCAGATGGGGTCCCTGGGCCCTTTCAGGGGCGGTAGGAGGCTAGGGCTGAGGAGTCATGCATGCAAGGCCAGGACCCAGCCCAATCTATCCATGCCAAATGTTCAACATGGAAACTATAACACTATAACGGTAGCCTCTGCCTTTTACTGAAGCCAACTATGGCGGTCGGATGCTTAGTGCATCACTTCCTTCACAGGCTCTTGTGATGTCGCCCTCTAGTGGGACGTCTGTGAAGTACAGGTTGGCCTCCCACACAGTATCACTCTTTTGGAAGAAGACCCTGAAGTCCTTCTTGTGTAGGAACCACTCTGCCAAGTACTTGGACTTCATGTGCCAGCACTCTTATCTTTGGCGATGGGCTTGGGGTTTGACAGAAGCTTGAGCTGCCCTGAAAGAGACTTCTCGGTTTGGGGGCTGGAAAGGTGGCTCAGTGCAAGCGCACTGGCTCTTGCAAAGGACCCGGGTTCAGTTCCCAGCACCAGACGGCGGCTAACTGTCTGTAACTCCAGTTTCAGAGGATTCAGCTCTCTCTTTTGAACTCTATGGGCATCGCCTGCATGTGGTGTGCACTCGCATACACATGCAGGCCAAACTTTCATACAACATAAGATACAAATAAATTTTTAAGAAACTCTAGGTTTTGTGTTCATCTGGAGAAATTCAGTGTTTGGATTTTTGGTTTTCTTTTTCCTGTCTATTTTCTTCCTCCATGTTATGAGTCCTGAAAGAAAGACTTGGATTCATGAAGCTGATTCCTGCCCTGAGGTGTTCACACTCTCAGGTCTCTGCACACAGGCAATGATGACCTGCCATTTGACCCTTATGGGTGCTGTGTCAGGCACTGGTCCACTGCTTACCCTGATGCCCATCCACTTCAAGTAATCTGAGGTAATCTGAGTCATGGTTTAGGTTCCTATTTCACCCATGTGGACACTGAGGCCCAAGGAAGTTAACTAAATTGCCCAGGGTCATATAATTAGTTCTTCAAATTTAGGAGTCAAATCCAGACTGGCTCACACTCATGCCCTGGCCTGACTTTCCCTTAAAGGCGTATGCATCTGGAAAGAAGCACACGGTCTACTGCTTTATTGTCTCACACAATGAAGTTTGTCAGCACTGTCAATGGGTACTTGGCTAGGACCATGTTTGTGGAAGAAACTGGGCAACCATGCATAGCTGTGAAGAAAGAACAAATTTGGTTCTCTATCCCTGGCCCCTTCCCACTGCCCTGGATGGTGTCATCGAGCTTCACAGCAAAGGAGGGCCATTAGGATTAGGCCCCTGGGATTTGCAGTCTCCTGCACCACCAGCTAACTGTGAGTGTTGGGCCAAGTATTTTATTTATATGATACCCTCTGTATCCAAAAGAAGTAGCTTAGTATGGTACCCCCCATCTCCTCCCAGAGAGGCACTCAACACATTTAGCCATAATTTTTTGCAATGCAAAGAGTTAGGAAGATGTAGTTTGCAACCTTGGCTCTACTACCCATTTGCTGGACAACTTTGGGCAGGTTTCTTAATTTCTCTGAGCTGTCTCCTCTGGAAATAGAAGTAAAATTCATACTGATGCCATCGATTTTATATGAAAATTAAATGAGATAGTTGATGCAGGAATTTAGCAACATGCCTGGCAATGAATGCTTTCAGTAAATGACAACTCATCATTTTTAGGGTCTTACTTCATTCTAAAGTGTAAAAGGCTGATAGTTTAGAATGTGAGATTTCCCATAAGTATGCAGTTTTGTGAGGCTTTAAAAAAGTTGGAAGGAGGGCCTGAGGATGTGGTTCAGTTGGTAGGGTGCTTGCCTTAGAGTGCGTGAAGACCTGGCTCAGCCTGGAGCACTGCATAACCCAGGAGTGTTGCAATGCCTGCCGTCCCAGCACTTGGGAAGTTGAAGCACGGGGATCAGAAGTTCAAAGTCACCCTTAGCTATACAGTAAATTCTAAGGCCAGTCCAAGCTACACGGGAAACAAAAGGAAAGAATAAAATTTGGGTAAGGGGTAAAGGCCTGACCCTTTTTTTTATTTTTTTATTTTTTTGAGAGTTCAGATTGTATGCTGGGTTGTTCTGCATGGGGATAAACTGACATGTGCTGTACAACTGTGTGAGGTGCACCATCGTGGTAAGAAGAAAGAAACAGAGACAGAGAACTGGCCCCAGGCTTCACCCTCAGTGAAGGCAGACAGCAACTGAGCTCAGGCAGATCTGGCCTGGTCAGCCATGCTGCCTGCTTCCCCCCAAGGCAGGGAGGGAACTCCTCTCCATGACTCTGGGTCACCAGAAGAGCTGTTAGTACCACATTAGAGGCCCAGGCCTGGGCCTTCTGTGAAAGGAGGTGTCCTGCAAGGACTTATGAAGACTGAACCACCTTAAGAGGGGTAGTGAGTAGTTTTATATTCATTCAAACATCATGTTATGGCCAGGGAAGAGGTGGCGGCAGGGAGAGGCAGCCGTGGTGGGCATGGAACAGAGCGTGCAGAGTCAAGGATAATGATAGGAACCAGTAATACCACACTGGACAGTTCTGGGATCTTCCATGGTTAATGGAAGTTTTTTGAGCTGGTTTTTCATAAATCAGTGTCAGTAGAATGAGAAGTCCAGAAGTTTATATTTGATATTACAGGATTAAAACCTGCTGCCAGGTCCCAGGAGGCCCAGTGTCTGGAAACTGTCACCTTCAGAACCTCTGGACCAAGTGCCAGAGAAAGACTCCAGGCCGCCCCAGGCTGCATCACCTTCCCTGCCTCCCCCTGCTGCAGGCTGCCAAGGATGGTGTTCCTGTCAGAGAGCTGCTGTCCTTGATTTCCAGAAAGGCCAGAGAGGGGAGGGCCAAGAAGGGGGGTAGGGAGGGAGAGGGGAAGAGGGGGAGGGAGAGGAGAGAAGATGAGGCTAGGGATAGAGAGAGTGAGAGGAAGAGAAGGAAAGAAGGAGGAGGAGAAAGGAGGGAAGGAAGAGAGAACAGGACAAGGGAGGGAAACGGAGAGAAAGGAGGAGGAAAGTGGGAGGGGAAGGGGAAGGAAGTGGGGAGACAGGAAGAAAGCAGTCAAGACGGGAGGACTGGCTGGGCTGCAGCTGGAGAGCCTCCAGAAATACCAGTCTTGGTTTGGGAACTGAGGCTCAGGCAGCACAGGGGAGCCCAGCAGAAGTGGGCAAGAGGATGGTGCAGGGTGGGAGACTTAAACTGCACTTAGCCTCCCAGGAACTCCCCTCTTGGAGCATTACAATCAGCCGTACTGCTGCCTCCCAACTTGAGGGGGTAGTTCTTTGTTGAAATGGAACATTTTAGTTTTAAAGTGAGGATGGACAAGTATTGACTATAGCAGTGGAGAGAAAGAGAAGCAAGGTTTCTCAGATGTGGGGCATTGCACACAAAGGCAGGGTGTAAAGCCAAGAGTGAGACACCAGTCAATTCAAAAAGCAGCAGCGTGGACTAGAGATTGCAGCCACCTGATATGCATTACTGTCATTGGACACAGTCTGGGCTCAGCACCCAGCTCTCCACCAGGGAGCCCTGAATGTCATCTACATGTCAAGCTGTACAGGGCTAAGTGCTGAGGTCCCCTCCTGGGGTGCTCAATCTGTGAATGGAGGCAGCTCTACAACCATGGGGGGACAATGACAGAGATGTGTCTAGGCGCTATGCAGCAGCAAAGGGGTGCTCCACCAGCTTGCAGAGGAGGCTATGGCTAAGCACATGTAGGGAGACTCCAAGGGACATTGTAGGGGTGGAGAGAGCAAGCCAGCCAAGGAGAGTGGTCAAGTACAGGAATGTGAGATGCATGATGTGGCCAAGATGTGGCACTGCCAGAGTTAGAAGGCGAAGCCAGGATTATCAAGAGTTAGATGAAGAAAGAACAGATCAACGGATGTCCTGCATGCCCTGTGGCAGGTCTGGGTACACTGGTACTTTTCAACCACGGATACACATTACAATCACCAGAGGAGCTTCTAACACCACACACACACAAATGTGTGTGCATGTACACACAAACACACGTACATACAAGCATATGCATACACATTCATGAATACAAGTGCACATATACACATATGCACATACGAACACACAAATGCACACACTCCTTAGTCCCCATGGGGTATTGGTTCCAGGACTGCTACAGACAGTGAAATCCCTGATACATTTGTCTCTTATCTAACATAGTTTTGTGGTATTTGCAAACCTGGAGCCTTGAGAATGCCCCAAGTGCTCCCCAGACCCTCCTCAATTCTTTCTTTCTTTCTTTCTTTCTTTCTTTCTTTCTTTCTTTCTTTCTTTCTTTCTCTCTCTCTCTCTCTCTCTCTCTGTAAGTATATATGTGTACATATGTCTATATGTAAAATGATTTATTATTTTTATTTGTACAAGTGTGCTGATTGTCGGTATGTTTACTGGTGTGTATGTAGTGCCCACGAAGGCCAGAGGACAACAGAGCTGTCATGTGGGTGTGGGGAGTTGAACCCAGGTCCTCTGGAAGAACAGCAAGTGCTCTTATTCCCTGAGCCCCCCTCCAGGCCCCTCGATGTGTTAAATCGTGGCTTGATTACTTGTAATATCTAATACAACGCAGCTAACATAAAAATGGCTCTTATGCTGCCGTTCTTAGAGAATAATGAAAAGAGGAAAAGCCAGCACATAGTGGAGGTAGACACTGTTTTTCTGAGTATTTTCAGTCTGCAGTTGCTTGCGACCCAGGGAGTGGACTCTGAGAGAGTAACTTGAGTCATATATACATATTAACACCTAGATGTCACCATCTGTGGCTTCATTAGATCTATGGGGGTATAGCTTGTGTGCAGGTGTTCTCTAATGCCCCAGGTGATTCTGCAAGGCAGCCAGGCTGAGGCCTGAGGGTTGGGTGGTGGCAGAAAGAGCAGGAGGACAAGGAAGTGTTTGTTTGCCATGGTGGCGGTGGCGGTGGCGGCATGCTGGGTACATGTGCAAAGGCTGGGAATTCAGGATGGAGTTGTCAGTGGTTGGTTTCTTCTGAGAGCTCTCTCCTTAGGTTGCTATGGCTGCCTTCTCCCTGGGACCCCACCTCGTGGTCCCTCTGTTGTCTGTATCTTCATCTCTTCTTGTAAGGATGGCAGCCCTATGTGCATTACAATCCCACCCTCATTTTAACTTCATCACTTAAGACTTTATGTCTATGTGTGATCACATTTAGGGGTACTGGAGGGTCTGGACCTCAACATATGAATTAGGAGGGGACACATTCTCATCCAAAGAGATGCTGTTGCGGCAGCTCAGAGTGGAGGGGGGGATTAGGACAAAATTAGTCAGTCGGTGGTCATAGGGATAGAGATAGGGAGGAGAGAAACTGGGGTTGTTACTGACTAGGATGAGGGGAATCAATGTGGCCCTCAATCCCTAGCATGGTCAGTGGTGCCATTGGTGGGTGGAGGTGTTGGTAGTAGAGGAAGGGAGATCTGGGTGGCAGGTTTCCTTTGTGACATGGATCACTTCAGAAGGGGACAAGTAAGAAAGATGTCAGCTGGAGATAAAGATTGAGTGCCATGGGTATATAAAGGCAGCTAAGCCAGGGGTCTGATGGATGCCCCCCCAGAAGTCACAGAAAGAAGGGACAGCTGGGGCCAAATGAGCAAACGAAGAGGAATTCATTTGCAATTTAAGCCACAGAACAAACAAACAAACAAACAAACAGAAAGCTGGCCGTCCTCTTCCGGTTCTAACTGCAGCAGAATCTCAGTCACAAAGAGGGAGTGAAGCGAGGGTCTAATAAAGAACTGAAATGATATGAACTGCAGAGGAGAAAATGAACCTCGAATCAAGAAAGGAGTTATTGACAGACCCATGGTTTGTTAATTAGAGGTCTAACTTTCCAGAGTTCCTCATTTACTGCATTATGCTTGTGAATTAATAGGTACCTCAACAAAAGGACATTTAAATCAATGCATGACACCTGTTTTGGTCCTGAAGAAGCCATTAATTACACATTCTTAAGAAAATGAGCGATGACACAACTCCTCTAAGTGTATAATTCCTATCTACGATGCTTAATCATACGACTTTTCAGCTGCGAGACAGATCTTTTCTGTTCATCTCCTCCGGTTCTGACCAATTAAACATTTTCTTTCATAATCATAACATTTCACATGCCAAATCTTCAGAAGAAGAGGCGCTTGTTAGCAGCATACCACTTCCCGCTGCTAATTGATGCTGAATTCGAATTTTTAAAAGTATAATCCACACACACGGCATTATGAACATGTTCAGGCTCTGTGGAATGACAAAGGCAGCCTTATTTTGTAACTTGATTTTGTAAAAATGTTTTTGTAGGACAATTGTTTTTTTTTTTTTTAACAAAAAGATTTAATTCCTGTCAAGCTGAGGTCACATTTTGTACATCATTTCTATACACAGAGAAAATACTCAATATAAATGGAAAGAGTGGGTAGGTTTATTTTATTTTTTGGTCTCTTTAAATTAGGGTCTCCCTGTAGCCCAAGCTGGCCTGGAACTTACTATGTAGACCAGGCTGGCCTCCATGTCATACAGATTTGCCTGCCTCTGCCTCCTGTGTGTTGGGACTAAAGGTGTGTACCACCACACCCAGCTTGTAGGAATACTTTAAAAGAACCAGTTCATCTAAAGGATTTGGAAAGTCTCTACAGAGACAGTTTGCTGTTTTATGGCTTCTGTCTTTTTTCTTTTTCCTTGAGACAGGGTCTCATGAATCCCAGGATGGCCTTGAACTTGTGAAGTCCTAATCATCCTATCTCTTCTCTGCAGTGCTGAGATTACATGTGCTACTACACTTAGTTCTATCTTGTGATGGTAGGCAAGTGCCCTTACTCACTGAGCTGCATCTCCAGCCCTGTTCTGTTGTGTTTAGCATTCACTGACAGCTTGTCTCTCTGATCCATTTATTTCCTAACAGTACAGTGGTTGCTATAGATTTCTTTTGCAGAAATCATCTCTTCCCAAATATCAAAGCTTTAGATTTCTACACTGTGGGCTTCTGGCACAATCCAAAGGCAGTTTGGTTCCCAGTTAGTCACTACGCTTGAGATTCAATAACTCTGACCTAGCCAGGCCTGTTTCTCAGGCCTGCTCAGCAGCCAGGGAAAGTCAGGTTAAAATCATAGATCATAGACAAATCCTACCATGCAGCTGTGTGCTGTTTGTGGCTGCATGGATCCAGACACCCCATTGGTTTCCATATTCCCCTGGCAAAGAGCAGCAGGTACAAAAGATACTACACAGGCAAAGTCTGAAATATTCACTAGCTGGCCCTTTATGGGGAAAGACTGCCAACTCCTAGAATAGATTAGCTACATTTCTCAACCTGGACCATCTCCCATAATGCCATGACCCTGAAGCCACGTTGAAGAGGTCTGCACCATCAAGAGGCAGCTTGCTTTCTGTTCTCACGTGGTCATCTTCACTGACAGCCTTTTATCCTCCTCAAACAAGCCCTGAAGCAGAGAGTCTAATCTAACATGTTATGCTTTTTTTTGGCAGATGTAAGCCACTGATTTCTTTGCCCAATAAGTCAGTAAGATTTGGAAGCCTGCAAGAAGTGGGGGCTGGAGTTAGTCCCCGTCACCTCGTCCTTAATCTGTGATAAGGCAAAGTCTTTAGGCATCACATGTTTGGTCAGCTACCTGGGAGCACTGAGTAGCAAGGTTCTATTGAGGAGACCTTTCTCAAGCATCCGGCACTGGGAGCCCGCTGGGAATGGAGCTGGCTTCTGGTACAGTAGACCCTGCTTACTTATCATGTGTAGACAGGAATCACAGGAGACCAAAAGCCTCCACTTAATTTGACCCTGTCCCTCCTAACAGCTCCAGACCTCACGGTCTTGGAACAAAGACAACAAGCTTATGTTCTGGGTACACTTTCTTTTTTCCAAAACCAAAATCTTCCCAGGACCCAGTCTCCCCTTCACATTCTAGTCCTCCCCTCATGGAAAGCTTCTCACACACAGGTGTGAGCCCATGCCTGTGGTCAGTCTGAGAACACAGGCAAGAAATGTGAATTGGAGAGAGGGCAATAAAGCGTTCCTCTCCATCAGGCAATTCACATCCTCTGAGAGCCAACGCATAAACCAGATGCAGGTGCAGACACTATCAAATTGCTCTGGAAGCCCTGCTAACCAGGTCATAACCATTCCCAACATCTCGGTCCTACCTGGTCTCCTTGCAGCGTGTGCTGGTCAAGGGGTGTCTTTGTGGCAATGTTGCTGTAGTAGGCATACGACAGTTCCCAGTCCAGGGGGTAGCTGTCAACACCCTGGTAGTGTTTGTATCCAAGATTCATTGATGACAGCCTCTCACTGCCCTGGCCTCCAACGAGACTGTACAGCATGCCCTGTTAAGAAATTGGCAAGATGCTCACAAGATTGTCGATAGGGTCATAAAATCCTAACATCGGAAGGTAATTCAGCCCTTTCCTTCTCTATAATCCTAGCCATCCCAGAGATGTTAATGTACTTTAAAAAACCCCACATCTTGAAAAAAGAAGCCAAGTCAGCCTTCTAACAGTTTACAAATTCCCGAATTCATCCTGCCTACTGTCTAGCAGCTCAATAGCTCACAGTGCCCTGACTTGCACATTTTCATGGTGGAGTTAGGGATCTTCTTTGACTTCTCAGTTCATTTTGGTGTAGGTGATGTGTCCTAAAGACCACAGTGCTGTTTCAGCTATGTGATCCATTAACACATAATTCACATACATGATATGTGAACACATGATCCAGGTACATGATCTATGAACATGATTCACACACACGATCCATGAACATATGATCCACAGACACATGATCTAGGTGCATGATCCATAACATGTGATCCATGAACACACAATTCACATACATGATCCATGTACACATGCCCCCAGACACGTGAACCACAAACATATGACTGACACATATGATTCATGAACGCATGATTCATGCATGATCCATGAACACACGAGTCACACACATGATCCAGACACAGAATCCATGAACACATGATTCATGAACACATGATCCAGACACTTGATCCATGGACACATATTCCATGAACACATGATTCAGACTCATGATCCATTAATACATGATTCAGATTCATGATCCATGAACACATGATTCATACACGTAATCCATGAACACATGGATCAGATTCATTACCCATGAACATATAATTCACATACATGACCATGAACATAGGATTTATACTCATGATCCATGAACACGTGATCTGAGTGGTGGGGGTGAGTCTATGCCCCATCCTCAGATTTTTCCAAATATTAGTGCTAGAAAGGTACTAAAAAAGTGAAGTCATAGTCCGTCAACAGGCACTCTGGCACAGACCAGGCTATTCTTTCTACAGTAGTCTACCATTGTGAAGACTGCTTTGGGTCTCAGGAAAACACCCCATCCATCAGAAACATCTATAAACCAGGGCCATCACAAACAGGCGATGAAAAGGAGCATGGGGAACACCGAGGGAAGTCAAAGAGTTTCCCCAAACAAGGAAAAGCAACCACATGCACAGATCAGAAATTAAAGAGCACAGAGAACATGCGGTAGTGTTCTTGTGATGGCCATAGGTTGTCTGTCACCCTGACTCTGCAGATAGGGGCCCAGTGTTATTTCTCGGGGAGTCTGTTTCCAGTGAGATGAGTCCTTGAATTGGGAGGCTGAGTGGCCCTCCCCAGGGTGGGTGATCAGCAACCTACCCCTTGATATCCTGAACAGAACCAAAGGCAGAGGATCGAAGAATTCCCTTCTTTTGCCTTCCTGCCTGCCTACTTGAGCTGGGACCCAAATTTTTTCCTGCCTTTGGGCTAGGATTTCTATCATCAGCCCCCCTGGTCATCAGGCATTCTGGCTTTGACAGGAAAACCACCAGCAGCTTTCCTGGCCTCCCACATGCAGATGGCAGAGCAAGGGGCTTCTCAGACTCCATAATTACAGGAGCCGATTTTTCAGAGTAAATCTCTTCCTATACATATAATCCGATTGGTTCTGTTTCTCTGGAGAACCTTGACTAATACACTTATGAAAATGTGACTCTAAATGTTAGGCATGTTGCATAATCAATTTGGATTCAAAACCAAAAGTAAAACTGTCTAGTGAGGCATTTATTTTGAGGGTAGCAGGGTAGATGTGACAGTCCTTTGCTCAGTAGTCCAAAGGGCTTCTTTTAGCAGAGAAGTAATATGGGCTGACGGTATTGACGTGAGGGCTGTTGTATCGGTCCGGAAGAGGTCTCTAACTTTAAAGGATGGGATTCTGGTGTGCCCTGCTCATATCATTCCTTAGGCGGCTTACCAAAACAGGCAAGCTACACATAGAAATAGAGGAAGTGCCCCTTTCCCTCCCTGAAAACAGGCTCTCCTGTGGTTCCACAGCCCAAGCACATTTTTTCTGGGTGTAAAGAATTTTAGGGGACTCTAAGGAGCTGTGACATGACCAGTTCCAGCAGGGGCATCACTCTGCCCATATAACCCAGGTGACAGATACTCGGAATCCATGAAATACTTCACCTGCAGCTGATCCCGAGGTCCATTTAATCCAGTTTCATAGAAGACTGCAAGGTAGTAAGATGCTTTATGGTATCCACAGCAGCTAGAATCCATCAGAAAGGGGATGACGGAGCTAATTTGGTGAAGACCATCAACGCCTGAGAGTCTTTTTACAGCTTTCTCAAATATCCTCCCACCGATTTCTAATACAGATTCATTTTGGCTCCTTGACGCTGTAAATAACACAATTCACAGCATACAGAATTAATTACCATGGGATTGATGTGGCTGAAGAAAAAGAAAGAAAAGTCAATTAAATCACCTGAGTTACTGACAAGGCTGGTCCTGCAGTACCTTGAAATATACCACCTTCGGGGGGGAGGTAAATTAAATTCTCTGGGGGAAGCTATGGTGTCATTCTGTAAAGAGCTTTTCCTCTGGCACTAAATGACAGCCTAGTATCCTGGGGGAAAGGATGCGCCTCACATTGCTGAGGGAGTCTCAAGAGACTAATTCACTCAGTGTAATTCACCACCCAATCAGGGCCACTGAAACTTCCAGAGATTCTTCTCCCACTAAGACACGGAAGAAAGTGTTTTATTCCAGAAATAGTTTCTTGGTACCGCTCTCAAATTTGAGCAAAAGTATCTTATTTTGAGATGCTTCCTCATCATCTTTTGCTTCCAGTTTTTCTTGTGGGTCTCTAAATACGATAACAAGACTGAGTCAACTTTTATGGAAGGCTTACAACACGACAAGCACAGGGTCTAGCATCTATGCAAATGAAGCCATTTGAGCAATAAGAGCTTAGGAGGTTGATACTGTTATTAGCCTCCTCCCTTTTCATAGCAGGAGACTAAGGCTTGAAGAAGCAAAATAATGTGTCTACGATTTCCAAAGCTAGCAAAGTGCTGAACCAACCTTTGAACCCAGATTGGCAGGCCCCCCAAACCAGAGTTCATACTCACCTTCTGGTGGACAGGCAAGCAGCTGTGTTCACCAGGACCCTCCCAAGGTAGATGGGGACTTGTCTACAAGGCTGCTCTAAGCTACTCAGCACTTCCCTTTATTCAATCCTCTCATAAATTTACGTGGCGATCAAAGTCTGAGTGAGCCAAATGAGCAAGTGTGTGATGGCTTTGTGTTGTGACTGTTAGAGTCTTCTAAAGTCTATCTTTGTTATTTGTTTCTCTTATTAAGTCAGACTGAAAATGTTTCCTTTCTAGGACAGGCAAGGCACTACCTACCACAGGTGCCCTACTACAAAAGATCATATGGGATTGAACAGATGTTATTTACATGTAACACAGGGTTTAAGTTACATGTAAATAATGTCAGTTTGAATGTTAAGTTAAATGTCAACTTAGACTAAAACTTCACCTGCCTAAAAACTGTTACATCCAACATTTTAATTTTCTTCATCCTATTCAACATTTTAAAAAATTAAAAAAAAAAAAAGACAAAACCCCAACTTTGAGGAGGCAGCAGGAGACCAAATCTTCCCAGAACTCCAGCAATGAATGGAGAAGTTTTTCTCACTGTGGGAAGGTTTGGATTAGATTTGCTGAAGGGAAATTCCCTTGCAGAGGCTCATCTTAAAAGCGCAGGTCATGGGGACTGGGGAGATGGCTTGGCAGGTACAGGGCTTGCTGCACAAGCATGGGGACCTGAGTTTAACCCCCAGCACCCGCATAAAATGCCAGGTGCCAAGGCACAGGATCTTCAGCACTGGGGAGGTAGAGAAAGGAGGATCCCTAGGGCTTGTTGGCCAGACAGACAGCCAAGTGAAATCGGTGAGCCCCAGGGCAATGAGAAATTTTGTCTCAAAAAACAAGAGGGGGATGTGATTAACATAAATCAACATAGAAACCTGCAACTGGTAAATGTACAAAGAACAAGAGCAGAGTGCTTATTCCTAAAGAGGACACTTCGTTCAAATTTCTGTCTCCCAGGGCTCAGGGATCATTGGGAAAGAAGGAGCACAAGAGCTGGGCATGGTAGATGACCATAAGAAAACAGTTTTTCAGACAGCTGGTCAGTTACTTATATGAACTCACAGCTACGGTGACAGCATGGACAAGTCCCATACAAGCTCCAATCAGACAAAATGCCAACATAGACATAAGGAAGTGGGTAAGCAACCCCAACCCAACCTAAGGAAATTGTGGCAACAGATGGCGGCTGGGAGGGGCAGAGACAGTCTCTGAAGCATGGGACTCTTGGTAGATTAGCCAGGCTCCAGTGGACAGACACACACTTAAGGACATTTGGGAACACAAATTAGACCCAATAGGCTTTATTACATATGTAATAAAGTACATTGAACTGGGTGGGGGCAATAAGGGGTGGAACGGATAGGAGAGGAAATATAAATACCATCAAATTATATTGTATGAAAATCACATAAAAGAAAAAAAGAATTTTTGAGGATGCGTTTGGCCAACCCTATTCAGTCCCTAACAATTACTAAATTTCATGCAGATATTCTTCAAGTTCTGGTAAGAAAAAGAAAACTTTAATATTTTTCTGCAAAAAAATCAATCTTCTTTACTTTTAATAGCCAATAAATAAAGTCCACTATGAGAATTATCAGTGTTAGTAATAATAAATTTTAAAAAAAGGGGGGGATGATGTATGAGGAACAATGTTTAAGACTGCCCTCTGACCTCCACAAGCAGGCACACACATAAGCACACACACACACACACACACACACACACACACACACACACAAGTCAAGGTCAGAAAGATCCAGGGCTGAAATGGTGAAAGCTCATATGCTTGTTTACAAGCTGCTGCTGGTCGGTCTGGGCCACAGGCAGGCTGGCAGTCCTTGGGAAGAAGACAGTGTCTGCGCCCACAGACCGGAGCTGTAGAACTCTTTCCAGCTCAGCTGCATCTGTGTAAACTCCCCAGATTCCAACACCCAGAGCCACAGGGGCTGAGAAGCCTTTTACTGGGCGAATGGAAGTGCTCCTTTTTCTGTTCTCTGTTTTTGTTTGTTTGCTTGCTTGTTTTACTCTCTAAAGACACAGATATTTGTTGTAAGGAAACTCAAACCATGTAAATGGTACGGAATGAAAACAGAAGTCTCCTCTCACCAACTCTTCTTTTAATAGTGAAGATAAAAACTGTCAAAAGCTTGGTACCTATGCTTGGAGACTTTTCCTTTGCATATAATAATTCATGTATGCATCTACTTACATATATACATTTTCCCAAAATGGCATATTATGTCACTAAAAATTCTGACTCTCAACTTTCTTTTTTATATATTTTTAAAACCCTATTACACTTTATTTGTGTATGTGTGTAGGTATATGCGTTCCACAGCATGTGTGGTAGGGGTCAGAAGACAACTTGCAGGGCTGGAGCGCTGGCTCAGTGGTTAAGAGTACTGGATGCTCTTGTAGAGGACTTGGGATCGATTCCCAGCACCCAAATGGCGGCTAACAACTGTCCATGACTCCAGTTCCAGGGGATCCAATGCCCTCTTTTGATATCCACAGACATTGCATGACACAGGTGTACTTACAGGGATGCAGGCAATACACTCATACACATAAAATAAAAATAATAAATAATTTTTTAATTAAGGCAACTTGCAAGAGTCAGTTCTCCCTTTCCACCACGTGAATCCCAGGGATTAAACTCAGGTTGTCAGGCTTGATGACAAGTGCCTTTACCCACTGAGCCATCTTGCTGGCCCAACATTCTTTTTTAAGTTAACTATGTATTATGAATAGCTCTCTAGGACTGTCAGAAGTTCATTCTTGTCAGTCCTTCCGTAATACAGAGGTGGACTGGGGAGATGGCTCAGTCAGTAAACTGCCTGCTGTACAAGCATGAGGACCTGAGATCAGATCCCCAAAGTCTACATAAAAAGCTAGACAATGGCAGCACATGTCCGCAATCCCAGCTGTAGGGCCAAAGAGGCAGGCAGGTCCCTGCAGCTCAGTGGCCAGCTAACCTAACCTAATCGATACACTTCAGGTTCAGTGAGAGACCTGTCTCAAAACAAAAAAAAAGTATGGGGGCTGGAGAGATGGCTCAGTGGTTAACGGCACTTACTGTTCTTGTAGAGTACTAGGGTTCAAGTGGAGGCTCACAGCCATCCATAACGCCAATTCCTGGGGACCTAACATCTTCTGGCCTCCATGGGCACATGGTCCACATGCATCATGCATGCAAGATGGTCACACATAAAAATAAGTAAATCTTTTTAAAAAATAGAAACGTGTGTGTGTGTGTGTGTGTGTGTGTGTATGGAGTGATTGAGGAAAGACATCCAACATTGACCTCAGATCACACATATACACGCACACCATGAATAAATAAACAAATAAATAATACAAGGGCATGACTTCCTGGATTCTCTGCAGATACTCAAATCCTTGGACATCCAAGCCGCATGTGGCCAAAGATAGCCATGAATTTGGCCTAATACAAGATCGTAAACTTACTTAAAACATTATGAAACTTCTGTGGAATCTTTTTTGCAACTCAATTGTGTGGTTCTGGAGCAAGAAGTTTGTAGATGACAGTACCCTGTCAGGATGTGACTAGGTTGGACGTGCCTGCCAGTCTGAATGATCCCTAGATTCCTTGTGTCTAATACAATGGAAATGCTATGGAAATGGCTGTCATACTGATTTCTTTAAGGGCTGATAACAAGGAAAATGTCTGTACATGTTCACTACAGATGATGACGATTATTTTTGCAGTCCTGGGAACTGGCCTAAGATCCTCACACAAACTAAGTACTTGAGACCACAGAGTTACGTACCAAGCCTGCTTTTCTGAATATCTTTGAGCCATGATCAGTTGTGCACAGATGCAGAGCCCATGGGAACAGAGGGCTAAACCTTATTGCATGTTACAGCCTCACCGTTTTCTCAACAAGTTCTTTATTTTTAGACTCTTGGGTCTCTCCCTATGGTTTTGCTATAACTAACAACACAGCGAAGGGCAGCCTTGAACACTTCCCCCTGTTCCCCTGTTGCAATACGGCCGAATGACAGCATCCTTTTCCACAAGGGTCTGGGGATCTGGGGTTTCTCTTTGGATTTCCCCTTTCCACAGCTGAGAAAATTCTACCCTACTCAACCATTCACCAGATAAGAACCTTCTCTGCTGGACTCGGTGGGCACTGTAGCCTGGAGGTATAGTTGCTGCTTATACATATTTTTAAAAGTTTTAAATACGTGCTCATTTCAGATGCCCCTGTGTGCAT